AGAGTAAAACTGAAAAAAAGATTATTAACAGAAGCACAGTGCCAAGCTACAACTTAAATAACATTCCTGAGAAAAGTAATATCCCCATAAAAACAGATTTACATTACTCAACTGACCACGAGTCAGAAGAACTATGGCTTGAAACCAGAGCTATAATTGGGGAAAGTGACAAAAGACAATTCTTGTAGCAAAAAGAAAGAAAAAGCATAGTTGAATGATAATTGCTAAGGACAAGTGAAAAGCAAAAGCAAGTGGAGATAGAAATATGGTCAAAATCCTGAATGCAACTTTTCAGTGACTATTAATCAGAGACAAAAAGAACTATTACGATGACCAGTGCAAAGAAATAGAACAAGAAGAGAGGAAAAACAAGAGATCTCTTCCATAAGATCCAAGAAATCAAAGTGAAATTCAAACCTATATTAGAAATGCTGAAAAACCAATAGGGGAATATATTTTCTGACCATGATAAAATAAACAGATGGAAAGAATATACAGAACTATACAAAAGAGATTTAAAAAGATGAAGAGGAATCCTATGAGGAAAAAGCTGCATTATTAGAAAGTGAAGCAAAAGCTGCTCTGAAAGCACTTGGAAGGAACAAAACACCAGGAGTAGATAAGGTGACCAACAGAACTAATCCAGGCTACAGAGATTAAATCAGTCAAATCCCAAGAAGAGTATGCCAACAAAAAATTGAAACAAAACAATGGCCACAAAATGTTCAATATACATTCCAATCCCCAAGAAAGAAAATGCAAAGTGCTGCAGGAACCATAAGACCATTACATTAATTTGCCATGTAAGCAAAGTGATGCCCAAAGTACTGCAACCATTTTACCCTCTATGGAGTGAGAAATGTCTGACATTCATCCTGGATTCCATACAGGAAGAAGCAATCGCGATCATACTGAAAATACACCGGTCACTGGAGCACACCAAAGAATTTCAGATCAGTCTATGTTTTATTGTAAGGACCAGGACGTGGGTGGCAAGCTGGGGCAGGCATTATGCCAGGAACAGGGCACCTGTGCAAGGTGAGGCTTCCCAACCTATTAGGGACCTGAGGCAAAGAGTGAGTTACCAGTCCAAGGTCAAAGCTGCAGGAAACGTTCAGTCCAATACTACATAAAGTGATAGCACAGTCCACAAAAGAATGCAGAGGTCTAATACTAAGAGTAGGCAAGGCTAGGAATGAGGGATGCAGAAGCAGGCAGGAACATACTGGAGCAGAGCTGGAGCAAGGCAGGAGGAACTGGAATGGGGCTGGAGTGAGGCAGGAATGAGGAGCAAGGTAGACAGATGCAGGAGCCAGAGCATGAGTCACAGGGACAACTTGCATTGCTGTGACAAGGAGCAGTCCTGCAGAGCAGCCTTTTAGCTTGTTACCAAGGCCCCAGCTGCAGGGCATTGTCGTCTCTCAGGTGTTCCCTGCAAGCCCCAGCAGAGGTGTTCTTGGTTGTACAGACACTTGCAAGGTTATGCCAGGCCCTTGCCCTTACATTTATATGCTACAGCAAAGCCTTTGACACTGTGGATCCCAAGAAGATATGGATGGTCTTGAAAGAAATAGGTGTGCCTCATCACTTGATTGTCCTCATGTATAATCTGAATTGTAGGCAAGAAGCTACTGTTAAGGACAGAAAATAGAGAAACAGAATGGTTCCCTATATGCAAAGGCGTCAGACAACGGTATATTTTATTTCCTTATCTTTTAAGTCTATATGCAGAACATATAAATAAAACAAGATTACAATCAGATGAAGGAGTGAAATTGGTGGGAGATATATCAGTAATTTCAGATATAAAGAGGAAACCATATTACTTGGAGAAAGCAGCAGTGAGTTGACCTGACTCCTGAAGAAACCAAAAGAAGAATGTGTGAAAATAGAACTGCAGCTAGAGAACAAGAATCATGGCCGCAGAAAAATTAAACAGTTTTAATTTCAACAATGAAGAAACTGAGATTGTGAATGATTTTGCATACCTTAGATCAATCATCAGCTCAAGTGGAGACTACAGCCAAGAAAGTAGAAGACTGAGCCTTGACAGGGCAGCAGTGAAAGAACCAGAAAAGATAATCAAGTGTAAAGATGTTTTACTGGACATCAATGCCAAGATTATCCACACTAGTGTAATCCCAATCAATAAGTATGGTGTGAAGGCTGGACAGTAAAGAAAGCTGAGTGAAAGAAAATTAACATGTTTGAAAAACAGTGCTGAAGGAGAGCTTTTGTGAAAACCTCGGACCAACAAAAAGATGAACCAAGTGAGTCAAGACCAAATCAAGCCAGACCTTTCTATGGAAGATAAAATGGTGAATCTGAGGCTGGTGTACTTCGTGTACATCATAAGAAGGCAAGACTTTTTGGAGAAGACAGTAAAAAGAAAAGAAAAGTTGAAGGCAAAAGAAGAGGAACAGCAACTATAAGGGTCATGTTCCCCTTATCAGTGTGCCAGGGTATTAAGATCAGCATTGAAAGATCTTTACGCATACTACCACAGCAATTAACCATTTTCTTGGTCATGGCATCCTGCTTACAGATTCTCCCCCAAGGGAAACTCATCTGGTGATTACAACTTCTGTTAAGAAACAGGAAAATTTTTTAAAGTTGTTTAGAACTTTTCATTACTGATTTTTTAAATCTTCGCTGGCTGTAATATTTTATTCCACTGTCAGTTATTGTGTTACTGTGTTTTAAGTATTATAAATTGCTTCAAAATGTTGATTCTTTAAATTCATTATATGTTGGGATAAAGTTGGAGCAAAAATTTAGAGCCCATAAAACTGTTGATTTTCTATCTGTACTGTCCTGTTATGCTCAATGCTTACTGCTTAACTTCTAAAATGAGATAACAGGGCTCAAACCTGCAGAAAAAAACACATTTTCTATGATCACAGCAGCTTTGCTCCCAATGTAGTTGTGGCTGCTCTATGGTAGGAGTTCAAAACTTGTCAGCCATAGGCCACTGGGAACCCTAGATGCCCTCTTTGGCAGTCCCTCTAGGATAAAAAATTAAAGAAAAACACGCTAATTCTGCTAAGCAGATTGTATGATTCTATCTAGAGGCCCTGTTCCTACAATATCTCCAGAACAGTGCTTAAAGTGTCCTAGCACTCTGGGAACAAGGCTTCCGTGTGTGCATGTGCATGCTCCCCCAGCAAAAGTTCTAGAGAGGTCCAGGATATCAGGATCCTTCATTAAGAGAGCTGATTATTGAGGAGGAAGGGTTACGGCCAGAAATACTGGATGACTGGATGGTTTGAAAGCTCACGTTCTGAAAGAGTGTTTGTTTCATCTGATAAAAAAAAAAATCCAGGCCTCTGAAATATGCTTCAGCAGGAGTTGGATGTGAGCATGTTTTATGTTGCATGTGAATATGCATAGAAGCATACATGCAAGCATATGATTTTATTCATTTACTGTTTCTATGATGTAAGGCAATTTGGGAAAACTGTTGAGGCTAAGAAATGGATTAAATAAAGTGTATTGCCACGTTCAACATGGCACTACTACTTAGAACAGCTGGTCTAAGAAAAACTGCTCCAGGATACGCACAGTTCAGAACTATCAGTAGGTGGCATCTGGACAAGAGAGGACAGAAGAGAGGATAATCAGCTGGGGTGAACTTCTTGCAACACCCATCCCAGGTAATATACTGCAGGATTAAAATTTTGCTGCAGCCATTAGGGATCTGCAAGGGCTCTGTTAAGTGTCAGGGCAACACCCTGCTCCCTTTCTCAAAATGTGCTTAAACCTCAACTTAAGCACAAAGGCTTAATCATTGAGTGGAATCAATATTTTAACAGTACCACATGTTAATTCTCTGCTGCTTTATTCTTTAAGACAGTAGAAATACTTTGGTAGACATCAACTTTACAGCATAATGCTGTACTAACAGAGGTATTTTGTTTGGTATTTAATGCATGTTGAACAATAAGCATGCAGCTATCAGTCTCCTTACATATTTCCTTTACATGGTCTGGGATGTGTGCGCACTCTACTTTGTTGTAATCTTAGCTTCCCTCAGTTTCCCTTCATTTCCCTTAATGGTACAAATGGTATGGTATATAATGCTGTATTATTAAGCAGCATTATAGCACTACCTACTGACAAAATAAAGATCATAGACAGCTAAATATAACCCTTGAAATATGCCTGTCCTCTATTTTTTTCCTTGGTTTGACTCCTACTTTTCTGTAAGATAAGACTCCACAGCTTTCAACAAGCAACTGGGTTTGGATGGAGTGGGGAGTAAGCTAGAACTGATTAGCTGCATGGAACACTGCACTGAAAAAAAAAACCTGTTCCAAACACATTTCAAGTCACATTGGGTTTGCATTTTGATGCCAGAAATGGAAAATCCAAAGTGCACCCGTGTACCCTCTCCACATGCACACAGGTTAACATCATGCTGGATACAGATAATTTTTTTTTGAAATTGAGTTCCACTACAAGTTAGTTATGGATTAATGTAGTTTCCATTCAAATCAATGGTATTTAAGTGCCACTAACTTAGGATTGGATCCAATTCACTGGGCTATCATGTTACCTACAGGCTTCACCTCGTTCAATGAACAAAAAATGTAAAAGAAAGCAAGCTCACAGCCTCCTCCCACATACAGACTAATTAACAAGAAGCAGAACCCACTGGGGAGTTCTACATCAATCCCAATGAAATGAATATGAACTGCATAAGTGTATTATTTCAGCGAAGCACATGCAGAAGAATGCCCCAATAGGTTGTACTTGATGTATTTGAGTCCAACTATCAATGCACTTAACAGCATGCAAAATCTGTCACATGAAGCATAGTAAGCCGACCTCTGGATTTGCATAGAGCATTCAAAGATGCCCTTCTTATTAAGGGGGAAACTCATCTGTGTACACCACAACCCATTACAACTGTTTCACAGGCAGGGTAATACTTCCAAAGCTGCATACAAAAAGCAACTTCTTCCAGTTTCTCCAACATACATACACCAAAGACTCTTCAGTTTTACATTGACTTTCCTTTTTATTAACGCCAACTTGTTTTAATTTTTTCCTTTTGTTTTCTTTTAAAACAATAGCACAAAAATGTGTTTCCAGGGAAGCAATTTGACAGCTAGTATCTGATGACCTTCTCAAATAACAGTTAAAGCCACACCAAGTATGAATTCCTTTTTAAAAAGGTATTTTAAAAAAGGGTACTGTAAACGTTTGAGAGAGGAGTGGTGTTGGGTTGGAAATCTGGTTAGCAGGAACATGCTACTCTGGTAAGCAACTGATGGCACACAACTTAGAATTTCATCATCATGCCAGCTAGTACAAGTTTTAAGGCTTCTGAATCAAGTTACCAAACATCACCAAAGAAAGGGGGATGGAAAGCTGCAGTCACAAGGAATTTAGGGTAGTGTTTTGTTTTTTTTTAAACAAGTCCTTCAGTCAAACTACAGAGTTATGCATAAAGAGGGGCAGTACTTAGAGCAGCCCAGAAGGATTCAGTCACAGTACTAAATCTTATTTGCATGCAGTGGTAGGGTATAATTTAAAGGAGGATGGAAAAAGGAGGTATGAATTCTTTCCTTGTTTAGTGTGGCTGAGAAAGATATTTCCCGAACAGTTTTTGTAATCTCTAAGAAGGACATCAGCATATGAAACTAAAAGGAAGGGATGGGAGCAAACATTTTATCCCCCTACCCCAAAAAACCCCACGGTTGTGATGGGCAGGATACTAACAAGCCTTCAAATATGAACCAAGATTACAGGATGTCTCCCCAAAACCTGCAGCTCAGCACTATGCACTAGAGCCGTCTTTCATAATTGAACCATTTCGCACAACACATACGTGTTTTTGCTGACTTGTTGCATGCTTTCTGGTGTGCTCAGAGGCATTAACCCATTTCAACTTGCCATAGAATTCAACTTGCCTAGAAACCTCTGGCTTCCTTGCATTTTGGTTTTGGTTTTTTTCTTTTTAGAAAAAGAGAGGGGGTGGTTAAAAAAACATTCAGCAGTAAGTGTAAAGAAGGGGGAAGAGTGTTAAATATTTTGACCACTCACAAGGCTTAAGGAAGTTTCACAGTTTTGTTATGCTCTATTTTATTACTATTATATTTACAGGGTGGTTGGTTTTGTTTTTGCTGAATTGTTGATAAAATTTTTAATAGAATTTAGTTCTGGAGTGTGAGCAGGAACCAGTTAACTACATTCATTGTCCAATCCCCAATGGTTTGAGAAAAGACTCCAATTTCCTTGGCGTATTATTCAGCTGTTGGGTAGCAGCTCCTCCTCCTCGCACCGAGGCAGTTGGGCCACAGCAGTTGGGATATCCGAGGTGGTGAGGGTGGGTTCACACAGCGGTTGGTGAGGCCTTGCGCTGCAAGAGATACTGGTGGACATTTTCAGCATCACGCTTCAGCCACGCAGCGTTCAACAGAATGTTTTCACAGCACTGCTGGATGGTACGCTCAGCTGACGGAGCTGGGTGACTCTCAAAGAAAGCCTATATGGAATGAAACAACAACTGCTCGGAGGGCCATATCTGATGACATTTTTAAAAAGTTTCCACAAGATAGAACAGAACACAGGTGAGGAACTGTGGCCTGACCATTGACTATGCTGGCTGAGGCTGATAAGAGTTGGGAATACCTCATCTGGAATGCCACAGGTTCCTGGTGCAGAGGGTTGGCACATGTGCTTCTGAAGACACTACCTATGGAACATGCTTAACATTAAAGCAACCAAGGATGCATTTGCAAGTATCCATATTCTTAAACTGTATTTTGATTTTTTCAGGTTTGCAGCAATGACAATGACCTATACTCTCAGGAAAGCCAGGTATCATGGCATGTGTATGTTTTAAGCTTGCATCCATGAATTCAAAGAAATATTTAAATTGTCTTTCCATTTATCCAAGTGCTCTGAGTGACACAGAGAGGATAAAATACTAGAACAAGCTTAAACAGAAACTAAATAGCCAAATTTCTAAGAACTATCATTCAAATTCAAAATAACTATTTTCACAGGTACTAAAACCAGTTTTGGTTAAAATTATGAGAGTGTTCCTTAGAGCCTTGCGCAGTGCTGCACATGTAAAAGCAGTTAATATGCTTCTTTCACAAAGCCGAGTGGGACTTGCAAAGCCTCTTTCAATCTTCTATTCAGTTTTCATTGCTTCTATAACTCTTTCTGCCTTCTATCTAAACCAATGCATTTTAAATGTATTTAACTTGTGTTTCCTGCAAAAGTTATGGTCAAATCCCTCCTTTGCCCAAAGTACACAGAACTAGTGGCAGCCACCAACATGGAAGGATGACAAGGCAATTAACTCTCTCAGCAGTTTGAGTAGCAGTGGTGTATGGCTCCACAATACCCCAGCCCTATGGCTTATGCCCACTGTGATGCACTAGCTGATTACTCCCTTTTGAAACCTTAAAATGATGAACTCATCCCATACTCTGATATGCTTACAACTGATGGCTCTTTCTACATGACAGATCTCTATAACTGTGGCAATATCCTACAGTGAGTCCCTTAGAAATTTAGATTTCTTAGTTTTTTTTCAACTTTCAGCAGCTCCATCAAATTTTATACAACATACAATCAATTTACTCTGATGGGCTTACTGGGCACTGATCCATCCATCTCCCACACTAGAGACATTCAAGGTAAAACTGGACAGCCACCAGAGTGGGATGGTATAAATTGTGTCCTGCAAAGGCAGGGGGGTGGACTCAATGGCCTTCATGGCCCCTTCCAACTATAGTATTCTATGATCTGAAGAGTGCACAGCCAAAAAACATACTGAGCCAAAGAAGGGTGTTCTGGAGTAACTTCGTCTAGGACATGCTTGCACTCTCCCCTACTTCTCTTCTCAGTCAAGATGATCCCATAGTGGGGAGAAAAGGCATATTGACCCATTCACTGGTTCTGAATTTAAAGGCTCTTGCAAGGTCAAGTAACCAATTGCCTTACCTTAACCTCTGCAGCCATTTTGTCAATTGCAAATCCATCTACTGATAGCTGAAATACAAGACAGAACACACTGTAAATCAGGAGAAGAAATCGTTAAAACCTCATGTTTTCAATTGCAACTGTAGTCTTTTTGCATACCTTAATTAGCCTGGATATTAAGAAGCCCCCCTGGTAGCGATTATAGAGCTCCTCCCAGTTGTCTCTGACAAACTTCCAGGCAGCTTTTCTGCCTTGTTTACTGCCTCCAGCCACTCCACCAATAACAGACACTGTGTCCTGGGGACGTACCTCTTCCTGAAAATGAAATAAGACAGTGCAGTAACCCTGATCAACATATTAGGTTACACATGTAACAGTCCAAGAGATGCTAATACTATATGCAGTTGCAACACTATTGTGCATTTTAACTAACCTTTGGCAATAGTTTTCTCTGACTATCCAGCATCTGCATCCTACGCTGTCTTGTCTACATCTCTATGTTACAAAGGAGGCTGGGGAATGTTCCAGGCCACCGTCAGTTCATGTGAATGCTGTGCCTCAGTGTTATAGTTTGAATTGTGAGTGCACCCTAACACATCAGCATTCCCCTCTGACTGCAGTGTAGAGGAAGGTCCATACTCTGTGCTGGGCAAGCTGTCATTCAGGGAAGTTTGACCATTACCATTGATCTTATCAAGCACACCTTGATAGGCACTGGTTTTGAACATCAGTAGCCTGAGACAACTAGTCACATTCTCAGCTATTGCCAGTATACACTGGGTTGGAAAGGCTTAGTATTACTTAGGAAAGACATGCTGAAATCAACAGGACTTCAGATTGTCATTCTTAGAGCGAACACTTGAAATCATGACTAAGTCTGGATCCAAACCACTTAGTGGTATCTATGCGAAGTTAAATACTAACATGGAGGCATGGAATAACAGAAGATACCCACAATTTTGGCATAAAAGTTTGGGATGACTGTTTTATTCAGTATTCAAGAATTCTTTTCCACTTCCATTGGCCAAATGTGAAAAAGGTGCCCAAGAAAATTAATAAAAGTAGAACATCTGGCATGCTAATTCTACCAGCCCAGGAATGGATTTTCTCAGTTTATTTATTTATTTATTTATTTATTAAAACATTTTTATGCCGCCCCATTCGCCGAAGCCTCGGGGCGGCTTACAACAAAAAATTTAAAATAACATTTTAAAATATATACAATAAAATACAAATATACACTATAAAACAAGCCGCCCTGGCCAAATAAAATTCAATAATATTAACATTTAAAATGCTGCTTAAATAAAAAGGTCTTCGCCTGGCGCCGAAAAAC